TCCCCCCGCCTCTTGAAGGAGGGGATTGGCTTAGATTATCGTGTACAAATATCCCCCTGAGAATTTAAAAAAAAACTTGTTCTCCCTTGCCCCACTTGAAGTTCAGCTATTATTGATTAATTTGGAGACATGTGGGGGACAGACCATCAAAGTCATTTCCAATATACTGCAGAGGGGTGTACAGGATTGGGAGCCCGGGAGGTCCGGGGGTCCGGACTTTCCACTCCTTTATATTGCGCGCAGAAGACGTCATCTGAGGGACGGGGTCTTAAAGTTTCTAAAATTATACTTCGGCGGTTTGGATCGTGGACCCTTTTCTGCGGAGGGCCCCCAAACCCCCCCTTCGGTGATCAGCCCCCACACTCCATAAATTTCTATACGTATATATACTATACATAATATAATTATATATATATATAACACATTTGATATATTACTCTATATATCCATATATATATATATATATATATGTTTATATATATATGTATATATGTATATATATATATATATATATATATATGTCGCATATATATATATACACAGTCGCCCAGTAACACTCACAGTATATAGCGTAGTGGCGCCATCTAACGGAGAAAAAAAGAAGGTTTTTAAACCTGGGGTTGTCAAATAGGATTTGGCCCTATGCACTATGCACTATGCACTATGCACGATGCACTATGCACTATGCATTATTCACTACGCAGTATGCACTATGCACCATGCACTATGCACTATGCACTATGCACTATGCGCTATGCACTATGCATTACAGTGTATGCACTATGCACTATGCATTATGCACCATGCACCATGCACTATGCACTATGCACTATGCACCATGCACCATGCACCATGCACTATGCACCATGCACCATGCACTATGCACTATGCGCTATGCACTATCCACTATGCACTATGCACTCTGNCTCCTCGGCTGCCTTCCTCCTCCTCGCTCCTCCTCCACCTGCCCTCCTCCTGCGCCTACTCCTCCTCCATCAGCCTTCTCCCTCCTCCTCCTCGTTTATTTTTTTCTTTTTTTTTGTTTTTTTATTTTTGTTTTTCTTCCCCTGCCTCCTCCTACTCCTCTTCCTACTCCTCCTCCACACCTACTCAACACTTGCTGCCCTCCTCCTGCCTGCCAATCCTGCAATCCTGCTCCTACTCCTACTTCTCTCACTCCTCCCCCTAGCTACCAACACGTCTCCCCTCCTGCCGCCTCCTCGCCCTTCCTCCCGCCTACTCCAACACCGTCTCCCCTCCTCCTACTCCCTCCTCTCCTCCCTCTCGCTCCCTCACCACCCTACTCCAAGCCGCCTTCTGCCCTCTCCTCCTCCTGCCTCCTACTCCTCCTGCCATCACTTATCTCGCTCTCCTCCTTCTCCTGCCTCCCTCCTCCATCCCCTTCTCACCCCCCTCGCTCCCTCCTCCTTCCTGCCTCCTCCTCCCTATTCCATCACCTTCTGTCCTCTCTCTCCATACCTCCTGCCCGCCTCCTCCTCTTTATGACGCTTCCTCATTCCGATCTCCCCATTAACTTCTCCGGGCTCGGGCCTCCCTCCCCCCGCCGAGCTCCCTCCCCTCCTCCTCCTCACCTCTTCCCTCCCTCCACCTCCTCCTCCGCCGCTACTCCACTCCCTTCCTCATCCTCCTTCCCCTACTCCATCACCTTCTCCTCTCCTCTTCCTCCTCCTCCTCCTCCTCCTGCCTCCTACTCTTCCTTCTCCTCCTCTTGCCCCCCTACTCCTCCTCCATGACCGTCTTCATTCGATCTCCATCTCAGGGGCAGGTACATTTATGTAAACACAGGGTACATATATGCTGAGAAGATACAGGTCTGGTACACTTGTGTATACAATCATATACGCAGGAGTTAATAATGACAAACCTGATAATGATAAACCTGATAATGACAAACCAATAATGACAAATCCTGATATACGTACCTCGGGTACATATCTGTAGTACCTAATACGACAACGACCCCTTCAGCTGCTATAGGCCGAGTACGCATACGTACGTATGTAGTAAGTGTTACGAGAGCCCAAACCCTCTCATAACCTGAGATAAAGATGGAAATAACACAGTTACACACAGAATTGTAATTATAGTGATATTATATTTTATATTTATGAGTAAAATGTGTGTTTTCCATAGAAAATACATCAGAAAACTTACTTATCTACTGATGATGAACTAAAACAAATATTTACAAATGGGCGTTTGTTGTCTTGTTTTGAAGATTTGTTGCGTCAAAGCAAATCAAACCAGCCAATCAGAGGAACCCGTGTAGGACGTTTACGCATTTGCGGTACGGAAAAAAATAGACGCACCCGGCGTAGAGTGGGGGAAGTGGGTGTTTATTCTTTTGCGTGTGCTGAGGAGTTATGCAGGGGCGTGTACAGGGGGGTGGGGTCCAGGGGGTCCGGACCTCCCCCCTGCTCGCGCAGAAAACGCATCTGAGGGGGTCTAATTTCAAAAATTTGGAGACCAGACCCCCCCTTCGCGTGCTCCCAAGTTTCCGTTACGGTTGGACCCCCCCTGGTACAAATCCTGTACACGCCCCTGTTATGTAATATGTTTATTGAGATACACTGTGATATTAGCGGTGCATATGTGAAGTGAGTGTTTATTCTTTTGTGTGTGCTGAGGAGTTATATGTAATATGTTTATTGAGATTCACGGTGATATTAGTGGTGCATATGTGAAGTGGGTGTTTATTCTTTTGCGTGTGCTGATCGAGGAGTTATGTAATATGTTTATTGAGATTCATGTATGTATGTAGGTACATGTATGACCTGCAGAAGAACCCCCTACTGTCGTACACCACCTATATTCGC